GGCGGGGCGTGGCGGGCGCGGCTGGCCCACACTGCTGCTGCTACCGGCTCGCCTGCTCTCAGTGCGGCTGGACTAGTGCTCTGGACGAGCTGCGAACGCCCTCTACTTGTGTTGGGCCTGGCAGTACTCGGCACTATCCAGCTGGAACTCCATAAGGGAAGGGAAGAGCGCGCCTGGAATCTGCAACACAGAACAACTGAGTTAGAGAAAGGAAAAAGGCAAAATGCACCAGGCAAACTGATCTTTTCAAGTTTAGCTCCACAGTTGACGAGGTTGAGACTAACAAGTCCTTCACTGTTGAAAATACCACTGTAGCTTTACAACCTTCCACCTTCCATTGCTAATTTTTCGGCTGACAGGACTTTTAATCTTTGATTACGATGCATTAATTTACATAGCTCTAGTTGTAAAATTACAATAAACCCAAATGAGCATATCGGGCTTGTAAGCTTATACGACAAATTTACGTTAAAACATTGAATCGAAGCACCTGCACAACTGCTTTGAAGAAATCATTTTACAACCCATGATGCCATCAAGTACAGCCATGGCGTAAAATGTTACTTATAAGAAGTAGGGTTGTAACCTGCCTCTTACAGCTGAGGTTGTGAAATTACAGTGTATTCACTACAGTGTTCGGGAAACTTATGAACCGAACGACACAAATATATAGCCTTCATCTCCACTGCACAGAAGTTGTGCTTTCTGCGACTCGGACTCGAAAGTAAACTGATTACGCCACGAAAACAAAACTACAACCCACGCCACCAAGGTCACAACAAGAGTGGAGGACATCCTGAGGTGAGGACTCGGCCGCGCGCCAGCCCCACCCACACACGAGCACACACTGTATGTCCACCATGGCGCACTGTTAGCAATGCTTAGCAAACGCTTTGCGTATTGCGGTTCAGAAGTGTTCGATGACTACGAAGCATTACTTTGCAATTACAAAGCGATACTCTGCGTCCTGCAATAAATGCTTCACAGTGTGTAAAGGATGTGCCGGCTCTTGCATGCCAGTATGGTGGGTTGCATAAGCACCGGCTCGCAGGCGCAGTCTGGAGCGCGCAGGTTTTCGCGCATCCCCGAGGAACCGCGAAGACCCCCATGGAACCTCGGGGGATGAGCGAAATCCTGCAGCCCGGGGTTCAGCCCGCGGTTCCGCGCGGGATGCACGGAATCCTGCGCGTTCCCGACAGCGCCTCCGAGCCAGCGCGTATGCAACCCACCATACTGGCATGTAGGAGCCGGGTGAATGCTTGCAGTAACAGTGCGGGGACCTAGGAGGTGGAGGACACGTACCACCACGACCACGAGAGGAGGGGGCAGGCCGGTGCAAAAAGTAATGCAACAATATGGAGCGACCTCCCCTAAGCACGGTCCTCAGGCGCAGGGTGGCGGCGGCGGCTGCTGCAGCGGCGCCCCCGCACCCCCACCGCCGGAACCAGGAGCAGCGGTGCGGGCCTGGCTGAGCTGTCCAGCACCAGGTCCAGAGCATGGCCAGAGAGAGCACCACTCGCTGGAAGAATTTGCCTCGTCATTTCGATGAAAGAGTCGCGGGCTAATTTTAATGACAAGAGAGAGATGGAAAAAAAAGCTATACGACCTAAAGAAAGAAAACCCACAAAAATGCTGCACCTTTAATACGACATCTTCAACCGTCTTCCACTTCAAATGAGGTTGTGCGACTGCTTGTTCATCGACCATCCGCGGATTGGTCGCGACCAACAAAAAGAAAACAAATGGCAAAACCGTCACAAAAGGGCAAGAAAAAAAGTGCCAAAAGCAAAAAGGTCAAGGCACACGACGAAAATGTGTTTGTGCATTAAATTAGCCTTAAAAACTCCTCGAATGCACTAGGAAAAGAACACAAAGCATTGCTTTGAATTACAAAGAAAATGGAAGCATTGTATTTACAAAGCAAAATGGCTTTGTAATTAAAAAGCATCACGTCCGCGCATCGAGGCCACGATGTTTCCATTCTTTTCTCTCTTTGCAGGTCACGGATCAATGCTTTGTGAACTTTAAACAGTGTGACAAAGCAAACTTTCCAAAGAGGTGCACCAGCGAACCTGTCTGCGCTCGGCGATGCGCAGGGGAGGAGCGAGCCGCACTGACGGCCACTGAGCAAATAACCTAATCCCGTGGACAGACTGGCGCAGAGCGGCGCAGAGCGGCGCCCTGGCCAAGCTAAGGACCTGCCAGGACGTATTCCTGTCCCAGCGTCCGAGACTCTTACCCCCACCCTCTCAACGGGGGAGAGCGGGAAGGTTTAGACGCAGTTGTGACTGCGGGGCGACGGGGCGGCGGCCAGCGGGAGCGGGTGATTTGGAGGTGAGCAGGGGGGGTATTTGTTTGGCTCATCTTCATCAGGTCGCCCAGCTTCGCGGTAGTCTCGCGTGCTGGCAGCGAGGACTCGGCGTGCTTTAAAGAGGGAAAAGGGGGGGAGGGGGGTCAAGGTATCCTAAGCTCACAGCGCATCCTACCCTCTGTTTACGACTTCATTCTCCATCCTACACAATGCAGTCACGTTCACATAAAAACTCAAACATTAGGACACTGGTGTTCAAAGAACGTAAGACGTTCTGGGACACACGACACACCAAATGGAAAGGGTGTTTCGTCTTGAGAAAGGACGCGATTATGTGCCAATCACTTGGTCCAAATTTGTAACATTTTCATGGTTAAAAGAATAAATATGATTTAGCGAAATTTTCTCGGTTAATTTTCTATTACGAATACTTCGTTTTTAACAAATTACGATATAGTTATTTTAGGAATTGCTTTGTAAAGTACAAAGCTCTAACCACTGATTACTAAATTTGTGTATATTTAGTCAAATTTTATGAGCCGAAAACTCGAGTTCGTGACGGAACATATTTGTAACTTTACGAAAAGTTTCGTAAATTGACACGAATTGTCTTCGGGAAACAATTTTTACGAAGCATTTTTTCATCATTTTTTAGCCCGCTCTTCTGCTTTGAAAAAGCTATTCAGCGGTCTTATGCAAACGACCTCGTGTGTGTCTGTCTGTCTGTTCCACTAGAAGGAGTGCTAGAGACTTGAAATTTTCATGGTATCTTAAGGTCCACTCCTAGAGAACGAAACGCCTACGGCAAATCCTGGCAACCACCCCTAAGGGTGTGAATGGGGGTATCCAAGGTTCAAAAAATTCTCCGAAGTACTTTTTTATTTATGTTCTCCTAAGGGGTAACTCGTCACAGTGGAGGCCTTTGGGCGGGCCTGCTTGTTAACATTGATCACTCCATCTTTTAGAGGTGGAACAACGTGGTGGATTGGCATGATTTAAGTTGAAGCTGAAGCCATCTTGGGAGCTCAAAAACTACAACAACTACAGTTATGCCAATAGAACCAAACCTTCTTTTCCCCATCTCACGAAAGTTAAAGAAATATCGGTAACAAAGTTGTTCAAAAAGTGGGTCCATCATTCTGAACCTGCCAAGTTCAGTGTCTGAAGGCTCTCATAATAACGCCTGGTAGGTAGGCAACATCTTGCGTGCAGGACATCCATGTAGTGCGGGGTGGCCTACCCTGAGTCTAGCAGGCGCCGAGCTGCCGTCATTTGCCGAATGAATCCGAGAAAACAGACGTACTTTCTGGACGACCCCGTAGACCATCGCGGGGTTCTCGCCAAGAAACAAACTCCGACAGAGTCTCCGACGGAGTCTCCGACGGAGTCTCCGACGGAGTCTCCGACGGAGTCTCCGACGAATCCGACGGAGTCTCCGACGAATCCGACGGAGTCTCCGACGGAGCACGGAAAAAAAAGACTTTGTTGTGGGGATCAACTTTGGTCGATAGGCAAAATTCGATAGCAGAAACCAAGAATCCGATGCCCACAGCCAGGAGCTGGTTGTCAAGACCGGACACTTGTACGAAGAGGGGGTTTGTTCTATTCGTACAAGTGTCTGGTCGTGACGACCAGCTCCTGGCTGTGGGCATCGGATTCTCGATTTCTGCAATCGAATTTCGCTTATCGACCAAAGTTGATACCTACAACAAAGTCTTTTTTTTTTTTCCGTGAGTCTCCGACGGAGTCTCCGACGGAGTCTCCGACAAACAGAGTCTCCGACAGAGTCTGGCACCGCCTCGTCGGACTGGACTGACCACTAAAGAGGCCCAGCCCGCCGGCGCGGCGACCCCGCCAAGGTCATACGCACCACACCGAGCTGGGCAAGGAATGTTGGTAAAATTAGATGTGCAACATTCAGAAACGGAACGAGGTTCGCTCGCTCGTGTGCGAGGAGTCGACAGCCTCTCGGGGGCGGGGAGCAACAAGGGTAAAAATAAAGTGCAAACGGGGGCAATCAGACAACGGGAGGGGAGTTAGGTTATATCCGAACGGAGGGGGTGAGATGGGTTCGTTGCCTCGCGGCGCCATGCAACACGCACATCCAAACAAACTCCTGAGTGTTTTAGGGGTAGGGTATTGCACTGCAAATACCAGAGTCAGGTGTCTCACCTAAAAAGAGCAAAATTTTTCGACGAATATACGCCGAAAATGACCACGCTGTGCATTAAGACGTACAAAAAGGCCTCAAATCGAAAAACGACAGAGGAAGTACCATCGAAAACAGAACATTCTGAATCAGAATCAGTCCTTCGAATTGTCGTCTCTTCAATCGTTTCAGAGCTAGAGGTCTCCGTACTTAAAATGGCAAAAAGTCCAGTTAAGACTGTTAGAAAAACAATACAAGCTGAAAACTCACGGTAAAAACAATGTCTCATTTTTTGAGGGAAAAGGGAAACGGAATTGCCTGCGAAGCGAAGTGGAGCTGGCAACTTGTGAGGGGGGGGGGGGGGGGCTGCTTGTTTTTTCTCTCTGATACATTTTGAATAAAGGGTGGGCGTCCACTCTTTGCCAGATTTGGTGCACTTTATTGACAGTTCAATCACACCTGCCGTGCCGCTGGCGCACTGGCGGCGCTACTGGCCCCCTGCCAGTGACGTCAGCCCCCAACAGGTGAGCGGGGCGAGCCAAAGCCTGGGCTCAGCGCCGCCAACGGCTAAATATTATTGATCAGAGTACATCCATTCTGACAAACGGACAAATCGGCTGCCAACTCAACACTGCTTTAGCCTTACAGAGAAATTTATTTGAACGTTTCAGGAGAGACTGGAAGCTTCGAAGGATTTTGTTCGTATTCCAAACAAAATAG